TCAAAGATGGCGGGCCGCAAATGACGATGGGAAATACATTACCCAAACTAACATAGGGGGCGCTCTCCTTACCCAGAAACTGAGTTATCCTAAATTAACCAAATTTTTCACAATACTGATAAAAATTTTACTAAATTACTGAAACAAAATACACTACAACATCTTGGCAGAAAAGGTGGTGCTTTATTAGTGAACAGCAAAAATAGCACAAAAGCACCCAGGCCAAGGCGAAGCAACTGCCAAAAAGATGTAAATAATGTGTTATATGAATGTGTGTGTTATTGGTGTGTAATGTGTGTATGTGTGTGTGTGTGTGTGTGTGTGTATGGGTGTGTGTGTGTGTGTGTGTGTTGTACAGAACAAAAAAACACAGTTTAAAAGCTAGGCAACAAGGGATAGAAAATACAAGCTTAAAGTTGCTAATCAAAGCTGAAATAGATTTAAGGTAACTGTCTAAAAGTTGAAAGTACTGGCCATAGCCTGGGTGATCGAAAAATGAAATGAGGGTGGAAGAGCTATGTAGCCTCTGTAGGCCAAAGACTTCCAGTCACCATGTGTCTTTATGAGGTGATCTGAGACGCCTGCAGCTGCTGCTAAAGTAGCTCCTCCCCTACGCAGGCTATGGACAGTATAGTTTAAAGGGTCAAGCCCAATGTCAATGACCAAAGACTTAAATTTTCGGGTGAGTACATGACTAGTAAGAGGAGTGAGAGCTCCTGAATGAGAGTATACAAAGGCAGGTGAGGCTGCTGAGGCAGGGATGTGAATTAACATGTTACAATATGCAGTGACCGGGCAAATGACCGAGTTAGGTATTTTAGCTACAGGAATAACATGCCAAAGTCATGTTTCTGACGAGTTTTTGACCACTGGGTGTGTAACATTAGACCTTGCACTGCAAATGAGATGTCCATGCGACGGAGTTGCTCTTGCGGTAAAAATTTGTGGCGTGACGTAGGCACCATGTTTGACTTTCGAAGAAATGAAACAAAATACAAGCCCATACAGCTACATGTATATCAAATTCGTTATCCAGGTCCAAATACTGTCTCATAGCTAATAAATGTTCTGGTAAAATTGGAAGTTTCTGATGCGGCATAGATGACATAGTTTTCTCTAGTCCCCGTAGGGTAAGTTTGACGTCGATGCTGTGAAAACTGTCATTACAAAAACCTAAAAGCTTGTGCGAGGTATTGATACCAGATACATAGTTTCTGATTGATTTAGTGCTTTTGAATGAATGCGAAAGCACGCATGCGAATATACATAATGTTAATTCTGCAGCTGGGAATGGTTCAAGTCCTAGATTGGTGCAGCAAGCAAGGTATGAATTTAGCTGGCAGTGCAAGTTTTTGTAAGTTCCTAGGCGGAATGCTGATTTCTGAATAATTTTAACTTCAGCTTTTATTTCCTCTATTGTATTACCTGAAAAAATCAAATGTTATGGTTAATTATAAAATCTTGTTCCTGCACATGTTGTTCTACCAGTTTAAATTGTGACATAGAGCTGATGAAATTGACTGCATAAGATTGGTGCTTGTGCCGCCGTGAAAGTAGATCAG